CCGTGCCCCGCCCCTCTTCTCCCTGCCGAGCTGCGGCTGTGTTGGCCGCCTGGCGCCCCTGTTGCCGATGGCGCCATGACAACGGGGGCGAGGTGCCTCACTCGCCCCATGGTAGCTGCAGCCCTGGGCGTGCTTTCACACCGTAACTTTTCAGAGTTGTCCTTGACGAACGCGGGATTGGACTCTTTGGTGTTGGCGGCGCACCGAGGACAATACTTGGAGATGGAATCATTTTAGAGAGGAGTGGCTTGGAGGGTTTTCGTTCCCCTAGTAGGACGCATTGTGCCGCCTCAGCTTTTGGAGTTTGTGGTGAGTGGGAGGTGAGGCACTCAGTCAGCTCAGGCCAGGTTTGGACTACACCTCCCATCATTCCTATAACATAAGGGGCAGGTGTTCTGTAGCTCATAGAGCTAAACTTGGCAGGGCTGATACCACCGCTTGGTTTTTCAGTGCAGCACTGACGAGGTGCACAGGAGGTTATCGGCTCACTGGATGCCGGGCAGGATCAACATCTGTTTATTACATTATTATTACTATTATACGGGATTTATAGAGCGCCAACAGTGTGCGCAGCGCTTTACAATATAAGGAAGACATTACAATCACAATACAATACAAGACAAGATGGTAAGGAGGGCCCTGCCCCTGAGGGCTTACAATCTAAAAGGGGAGGGGCCAGTGATACATGAGGAGGGAGCTGTGTGGGGATTAATTGTATGAGAACGTGATGGTTGAGCGGTCAGGCTGAGGTGGGATCGGCTTCCCTGAAGAGATGAGTCTTTAGGGGTTGTCTAAAAGCAGACAGATTAATAGATGGATGGACAGGTTGGGGTAAAGAGTTCCAGAGGATGGGAGAGACTCTAGTGAAGTCCTTGAGGCGAGTATGGGAGGAGTTGATGAGGGAGCTGGAAAGCAGGAGGTCTTCTGAAGAGCGGAGGGGACGGTTAGGGTCATACTTTGAGACAATGTTGGAGATATAGCCGGGGGGCGGAGTTGTAGATGGCTTTGTAAGTGACTGTTATTATTTAGAATGTTTTATCTTTTGGGCTATTGGAAGCCAGTGCAGGGATTGGCAGAGGGGTGCGGGGGATGGAAGCCAGTGCAGGGATCGGCAGAGGAGGGGGGGGATGGAAGCCAGTGCAGGGATTGTGGGAAATATCATTAGCTCAGTTTTTGGAATATTGAGCTTGAAGAAGTGTTGTGACCAGTATGACATCATCTTGAAACCCTCTACTTGTTGAAGCAACAGATGTATCTCCTACTACACAGGAATACTCGATAGTGAAGAGGACATCTGATGATCATGTGACACCCGGCAGCCAATCCCATGTGTCGGAGGGATGGAACAGAAACCAGGTCCCTACCATGGAGCCGTCACCTGAGAGGAACGACAAGAAGATTCTAGAGGTCATCAACAAGATCATTATGCTTCTCACCGGAGAGGTGAGCGGCGCCGGGAATTCTGGGGCATAATCCGGTAAGGGTAGTAGTAGTCTGCCCGGATGGTGACTGTGTCATTGTGTGTGTCAGGTCCCTTTAAGGTGTCAGGATGTGGCCGTCTACTTCACCATGGAGGAGTGGGACTATTTAGAAGGACACAGGGATCTCTCAGAGGACATCATGGTGGAGAATCTGCACCTCTTCACGTTGCCAGGTAAGTGGAGGCTTTGTGTACAATTCAAGTTCTGTCCGATGACCACCGGCATGAAGGACTAGAAGGACCATTCACACCTACAGATCGTGACAACCAAAGGAGTGACATTGGGGGAGGAATAACAGGCAGAGGGATTTTGGTTGCACGTGAGAGACCGTTGGGAGCTATGCAGACTATGCACCTTTAGGCCCATGTATTGGATGTTCCCCCCGAGTCAAGTTCTATTGATGGACACCTGACCATCACACCTATATGAGCTTGGTGGACATCCCGTTCCAAAACCATGGCCATCCATGTGGAGTTACCATATTGATGGCAGGTAGTGGTGAGAAAATGTGCTTGATCGCTGGCTGTAATGTCCCGGTTCTTCTTCTGGCTTTTGGTAATATTTCCTATATACTGTAGCCCAATGTCGGCGGACACCTGACCATCTCAACTTTATGAGGTTGTTGGACATCCCAATTCCAAACCATAGAGCTGCCACTTCTCCCCAGGGCTATTAATATAGAGTTGGCCTCCTTTGTGGCTATAATGGCCTCCACTCTTCTTTTTTTTTTTTTTTTTTTTTTTTAAGATTGTTTTTTTTTTTTTTGTTCTA